CATTTCAACCACCAAAGGGAGACCCCATACTGGACAAGTCCTAACCTTCAGTTATTTCATGCTACTTTCGGGATCCATAACAGTCTCATATTTGAGACCCTCCTGATGTCTTTCCAAAGGAAGTTTCAGATAGATGACCTAAGGATAGCCCCTACAAATTGTTTTGACTCCAAACTCATTTCATGTCTAAGCAAAAAGATTCTTTAATGTAAAATTAAATGTGTGCAGGGGCGCCTGGGTGACTCAAGTCGGTTGAGCATCCGACTCCTGATCTCTGGTCTTGATCTCAGGGTTGTGAGTTCAAGCTCTGTGTTGGGCATGGAGCCTACATTTAAAAAAATAAATAAATAATTAGATTAAACTAAAAAATAAAATTAAACATGTGCAGCAAAAAAGGAAAAAAAAATTGGACTGACATCCTACAAAGGGGGGAGGGAGGGGTCAGCAGAGGCATATGCAAGTCTATAAATTAAAAAGGCTGTGATTAAATTTTGTCTTTAAACTTAATAACTAGTCAGCATAACGATGAATTTGTCTAAAATACATCAAAACAGGTACAAAATTCATACTGTGATCTCAACTATTTTTTTAATCTATATATTCTATAATTTATAGAACAAAGCACCCATTGCCTCTAGGTGCCAGAATAAAAAACGATTATTTCTCTTCTATACTTCCTAAATTTTCTAAAAAGAGCACATATTCTGTTTATAATTAGACTGAAATTATAACACAAAAGCACTGTGCTTTCAATCTAATCAAGTAAAACTACAAAGGGGTAACCCAAGAAGTCTTTAAATAAAGGGTATAATCTTTCAATACATGCAACCGAGGCAAAGAAATCCCAGGCAACAGTGAAAGTAAACATACGGCAAAGGAAAAAAGATGAGAAAGAGAGGAAAGGCTTTCTCCTCCGTAGGCGTCTCTTCTTTGAACACGAGCTTTCAAACCAAACCACAACCCTATGGAGTGACACAAAAGGAAGGTTCAGGGGATCTGTCTTCACACACTAGGCACAAATGCAGCCTGGGGGCCTCTCAGCTTCGCCTTGCACAACACAGCTCCATCAAAGCCCAGCTGTCCGGGGCAGGTATGCGAGACACCGAACCGTCCAGGATGCACTTCTAGAGGATGCACTCACTGAGGGACTACACGTGTGCAGAAACCACTATAGCATTGCAGTTCCTTTCTCACCAACTTCAGGAGCAGCTCCCACCCACAAAAGGTTTTCGTCCTGGGGATGGGTTTCTTCAAGTCAGTAGCTAAACAAGGCCAAGCTTCCCCGGTACCCAGGACACGGAGCAGTGCCCCCAGCTGCATCATACCTCAGGGCAGCAAACCTAGGCCTTGGGGAATGCTCCTGTCTGGTGCATGATGACTTAAACCAAATTCATGTCTGGGGGGGGGGGGGCCTCTCAGAGACCAGGAAGGCAAGGAACGGAAGGAACGGTCCCCACCAGACAGACCCAGACTCACTGACAGGGCATTCTTGGCAAGGGTTGACAACCTTCCTAAAAACCGGAGAAGTGGGTCTTCTAGGGTTGAGCCACTTCATGCTTTCATCCAGCAAATATTTTACTGAGAGCCTACTATGGGTCAGGCACTGTGCAAAACATCGGAACTAGAATGGGGCCTAAAACCTGATCCTGGGGCACCTGGCTGGCTCAGCCGGTGGACCATGCAACTCTTGATCTCAGGGGTGTGAGTCCAAGCCCCACGCTGGGTGTAGAGATTACTTAAAACTAAAATGTTAAAAAAAAAAAAAAAGCCCTGATCTAAACAAAAACTATTAAATCAGAGCGTCACAGATCTAAAGAAAGCTGCCTTCCTGACAAGGCCCACTTCTGCCGAACGCTCCAAACAAATGAAAGATCAGCTACTCAAGTTTAGGAATTGCTTCAGTTTATGAATTAGAAAAGTACAAAAGACAATGGGCCCCAGATTAGACTCAGAGAGAGAAACAGCCAGCCCTCCCCATCACGTCTCCTTTCTTCTTTCTCTCCCTCCTCTCACACTCCAGGTGTTCTCTAGCCACCAAAGAAGCCAGGAATCCATTTCTTTTGGAATACTATTTTTCTATTTCAGATACAGGTATGTATCTGAAATAGAATAGCCCTCCTGCCAGAGGGCTCCAAATTTTTAGCAACACAATCTAAGCCATGCTCCAGTCCCTTCTGCCTCTCCCTGGGTGATCTGTAAAGCCTGAAACTGCAGAGCCCGGCCAAAGGATCATCTCACCATTACCCTAAATTGAGGAAGCAAAGATCAGCTCACTTTTAAAGAAATTCAAAGCAGTAGAAAAGATGGAGCATCAGCTCCACGATGTTTAATGTCAGTAAAGTTGAATAAAATGGAAAAAATAGGGAAATGTTTAATATTAATTTCAAAACATATTTTTACACCCTGTGTTATAATGAACCATTGGCATGAAGTTTTCGCAGAACCATATGTAATTCAAAATAAGGAAGACCTTTCGATTGAACCATCTTCAGGTCTGTATTGAATAGAAGGTATTGAAAGTAGTACTTGCTAAGGACAGGGTGGGGGGGTAGTCAAAAGAGCTTTATTTAAATTATTAAATTATTTTATTTAAATAATAAACAAATGCTATTTCTTGGGTGGCAATGGGGCCAGGAAGGGAAGCAAAGGCTGAGAACATAGGGTCAAGGACAGAGGATCCTTATCAGGATACCCTTAGAGAAAGTTCTGTCCCTGATTCCCAAAGGTTAGACCGAAGAAAAGTCCAGTGCCACTTTCAAGCCAACGTTGTAAACCAGGGCTGGAAATTTTAGCAAAGTGCCAATTACAAGTTGGAAATTTCTTCCCAGTGTCTCTGGTTAGAAAGTTATTTCCTAATTCTCGGACAAGAAAAGCAAAGCCCAGGCTACCTGAAAAGCATGGATAACGGTGGTATTATAGTTAATTTATAATTTTATATATATATATATGTAGTCACATATAGAGTTATATTTCCCTGGACCACTAACAGGTACAGTGAAGTTCAAGTGCATTCCGGATGGAGTCTAAGATCCATCCCTGTTCCAGGCATTTCTGCAAAGAGCTACCTGGCACGTTCCATCCAGGCAAAATTTTAAGTGACCTAAACACATGTCTAGAGTCTAGACCAAACCATTCGGCCCTTTGTTTAAACTGGTGAGCCCCAGTGTACTTGCACACCACCCAGTCACCCAGTCCCCCAGTCTCTGGGGCGGAGTCTGGTCTGGCCTCCAGGATGCCTCTGTCTGGCCCAGCGCGCTGCAACCACCGACACCGCCCAGAACATCAGCGAGGTCCATTTTTAAATTGCCTTAGAAGTTTCCCAACCACCGGTTTGGGTGAGGAGACAAACACGGCTGCAGTTTGCTGACATGGAACTAAAAATACCCAGCTGCAAACAAAAGCCATCTTTTACAAGGGTGGCTCGGATGTCCTGATGTTCCGTGTGGTACTGTCAGACCATATCCTTAGCCATGTGGCCGCTTTAACAACTGCTCCGGCAGAGCGGGGAGCGGGAGCCCAGTGGCCGGGCCGGCCCCGCGCTGTCAAGGAAGCTCCCACCAGCAGCCCCGGCATGATTGATGGAAAGAACAGCTTTATTCCTCTGCCACCCACCCAAACGCGGGCTAGAAGAATTCGGGGCTGCGTCTGCTCAAAGTGTTAGATACACACTGAAAGAAGAACGCGGGGCGGGGGGGGGGGGGCAAAAAGAAAAACACCAACCCCATTTCCCTGGAAGGAAATGTGCTTCCATCTCCCTCCTTGCAATTATAAAAGCAAATTATTGCTGTGGCTATACTGAGAAAGGCAACTGGGAGGCGTAAAAAAAATGGATTTCGGAGCCAATGTGGGCCAGCGGGGGCCTGCCGGGGGTGAGGTGGGTGGGGATACCACGGCTCCCCGGGGAGATCCGCGTCTCCCCGAAGCCTCCTCGGAAGGTTTTTACCTGTTGGGCTTGGGGGCTCGAGCTGCGAACCCCGGGCCGCCGCGCTCGAAGGCGCCCCTCCCTCCCCAGGTCCCAAACTTTCCTTAGCGCCCCTTCGAAGGGGCGAGACTCGATCCTCCCCCAGTCCACATTTCAGATGTGGAACTTGTAGAAGCTCCCGAGGGCTGCGGGGGAGGGGGCTCATTGCCACAGGCCCCGGGGCCCTCTGGGGGACTTCAGATGCTCGGAACCCAGGAGTGGGGGAAGCAACCTGACGGTCAGCCCAGGACCGGGCCAAAGTTTCCTCTAAAACTGTTGTGGTCAAGGCGTGACCCGGGGGGCCGTGACCAGCGCAGGGTCGGGAGAGCCGTTGGGGTGGGGGCGCAGGGTGAAGCAGGCCCCAGGGCACCAGCCGCAAGGTCACTGCGGAGCCAGACCCCGGGGGCAATCAGCGGGCGCCCGGCCCCTTCCCCAGCCTGGTGGAGGGGCAGCGCCGGGCACCCAACCTCTCCCCACACCTCCGCGCGGCGCCGAGCCCGGGACACGTGGGAGCCTAAGCCTCGGGCTCCCCAGCTCGCGGCGGGGACTGGCGACCTCGCCGGGGCGCAGAGCCTTCGCCCCCGGGTCCCCCACCCGGGAAAAGGCAGCGCGCCTGGGCGCAGGGCGGCAGGCTCCCGGCGCCTCTTTCATCCTCAGATCGCGGCATCAGCGGGGAGTTGCGTTCTCTTCAAACCGGTCCCCCACCACCAGGAGCTGCCCACAACCTCTCTACCTTGCTCTGCTACCTCGCAGACAGACAGACAAGAGACACAAAGAAAAAAGGGAGGGGGGGGGAAACTACCGCCCCTCCTTGCTCTCATCCTCCAGCCTGGAACCGGGAGGAAGAGGAAGGTGAGTACGTCTTCCCTCCTCTCATCCCGACTCGGCGACCCGGGCAGACCGGGCAGCAAGGAGCCCCGAGGTGGCTGAGAGGGAAGAGGTAAGGCTGGAAGAGGCAGAAACCCGGCGCCAGTGAGCGAGCGAGAGCGCGAGAGAGGAAAAAAAATATCCAACAAAACCACGCTAACGCGCCCCCTACCTGGGTGCAACATACTTTGGAAATAGAAGATGACCAGGATAAAGGATCCCAAGCAAGTGGCCAGCACCATCCGGCAAATTCTGTTCATCCTCATCACTTCCAGCAGCGCCGGCTTCATGGCTTTGTCCTGGCTGCGGGGACCGGGGTGTCCGGGAGGCGCGCCCGGGGCGCAGGAGCCGGGACCCTGCCGCGCGGAGCGGAGCCCGGGAGGCGCAGGGCAGGGCTGGGCAGGGCTCGGGGTGGGGGGACGATCGGGAGGGCTTCGCGGCCGCTCTCGGAGCCCCCAGCCCCGGGCAGGGGTATGGAAGGCGCCGGAGTTGCTCTGGAAGTGCCGAGATGCGTGGACCCGCCGGCTGCGCGCCCCTGCTCCTCCTGCTGCTCCTCTCCGCCTCCCCGCCGCCGCCTCCGCTCCCGCCGGCGGCCGCCGCGCTGCCTCCTCGCGGGCCGGGCGGCTGGGGTGCGAGCGCGGATGGTGCCGCCGCTGCGCTGGCCGCTGGGGCTGTCGGACGGGCCCCCTCCCTCCTCTCCAAAGGCTACTTCATTGCGCTCCAGTGATCTATATATTCCGGGCTGGGTTTTACCAAATGCAACTCGCAGCCCCCGGCGAGGGGAGGGCGCCCGCGGAGAGCCGGGAGGAGGGACCCGAGCGCCGGGGCGGAGCGTCGCGCTCCCCCCGCCCCTACCCGGGAATTGGTCGCGTCCAGCTGTTTCCCGGGGAGTGCGGAGTGCGCGCCGCGCTCCCGCAGGGTCCCAAAAGCCCTCAGTCCCCGGCCAGGCTCGGCCGCCGTCTGGAGGTTGTGTCAGCGTTTCCATGACAAAACGCGGAGGAAAAAAACGCGAAGAAAATCGCCTCGGTGCTGCCACCCACTCCTGCCGGCGTTTGTGGAGGGAAGTGGCAGCGAGCGAGTTGGGCACCGGGAGCGGAAAGGGGTCTGGTGGTCCGCGATCATCTCAGATCCCTGGGCCGGGTGGTCGAGAAGTTGCTCCTAGCCCCCAGGGAGCGAGTGCCCTTTTGCGGACGCCCAAAACGGGCGGTTTCGTTTTTCTTTCAAACCACAGCCAGGCTGGTGCGATGTTTTGGAAAGGAGTTAAAAACGGCTGACTTCGGGTCAAGGTTAGGGAAACTGCACTGCCCGCAGGGGTCAGGCGACAACGGAGCTTCCTCGGGGATTTACGCAGAGTCTCTCCGTAGACAAGGCAAAAGGGGCTTGCTTGCGGATTTTAAAACTCTGGCTTCCCAACGGGCAGAGCTCCGTCCAAATTCTCCCAGATACACTCGAGTCCCAGCAGGGGGGGAAGTGAGAGGTTGCCCGCACGAAGTCACTGTCCTCCGAATCCAAACAACTGATGGAAAAACCCAGCCGGCCTTAGCGTTGGCAGGTAAATGGAAAGATGACGTTGCTTTCTTGTATTGTGGGAAGTAACTTAAAATTTCCAATGCCATGCATGGAAGTGATTCAACAATCAATAAAGCAGATGCAGGCAAATAGGAGATCACTGGCTCACCTACCCTGTTCTAACTTTCGAAAATCGGCTACTACAGTCCACTTACCTACCACCCGGAACTGAAGATATTGTTCTTCTGCCCTCTGTGGTTTCTGTAAGCGAAGAGATAGGAGCTGACACGTCTTTTTATTTTCCTTAATAAGTTTACATCAGGTTTTTAAAACCTAAAGGATTATTTAAAGTCCAACAAGAATATCTACCAGGGGGGAAAATGTTATTGTAAAGACTAACTTTTGTGTCATATTATCAAATTGTTCCTACTATTAACTCAATTCATAAGGAACTAAGATAATAGGTCTTTCAATGCCTCTCACATAATAGGCATTTGATAAATACTTATTGAATCTGAATGTAAGGGGTCTTACCCCTCTTCTCAATACATGAGACACAGCTCACAAACAGACCCATGCAGCAAAACCCACCTCTACCACCTCAGTTCCCTTCCCCCAGAGTTGCAAGGTAGGGGAAGTAACAAAATCAGCAGCCTTGCCTTTGATTACAGAAGACAATCAATTACAGCACAATATTTATGTAACTGGTATGTACTGTATTAATTTGTACTCACTTGTGAATGAGTTGCTTGCTAAAGGCTGCAGAGCTGAACAACCCAGAACAAAGCCATTCTTCAGTGATTCTCCCCACAGGAGATTGGGGATGGGAGTTGAACACATGGCCACCCACCCCAACCAAGGCAGGAATTCTTTGCACAGAGCATGGTTAGATGAGCACTTGCAACACTTTGCCTAGAATGTCAGGCTCTCGTTTTAATTCCCGGTTTTACAGAGCAGGCAGGGTTCACCCAAGTGGGCTCTCACCATCCAGAGAAGAGACCATACTGTACCTGGACAAAAGTCTGGACATGCATAGGCAATCTGAGAAGTCACAGGGCTGAGAAGTATAATTTCTGGTGGGTTACGGAGGGTTGAGTTGGCCCAAATGGTGGAGAAGGTGGTGAGCCACGCCCAATATCCATTTTCGTATTTCCCACATCAGTCAGGAGTTGGCCCAAACATATAAACATACAGTGAGGGGTAAGGCTCTCATAGGTAAACTACCACCTCTTCCAAGAAGCCTTCCCTGATTTCTCATCTGAAGTAGCTTCTTTCCTCCTCGGTGCTCTGAGCACTAGGTCCAAACCCCTCTTGGGTCACTGTACCCATTAGACTGGGTTTCATTCACCTCCGTCTCTAGTGCTCAGCTTCATGACTGGCATTGGGTAGGGACAGCTAAGTCAGAGATGGAGAAGTAATGCCTTCTTAGGCTATAAAGTTAAGTTAGATCACCTCTAAAGTCTACCGTAATGGTCACCGGTAATGGCCTGGGATTCTGTTGTTCTACCCACATTAGGGGTGAGGGAAAAGGTTCCATTTCTTGTCTCCTCCGTCACACTGCAAACTTCCCAACCTCAAATGGACTCATTGCTTTCTGTACATTTCTAACAAAACTTTTTTTTTACCTTTTACTCATGCTACATGATAAATATTGACCAGATAAAGCACAGTGTTGTCTGATAAGAGTGAGGAAAAGGGAGAAGATTTGGTATTTTGAACTTTGAAGAGAGGATAAGGAAGGCCTGCCTCTCAGGTCAGGGTTTCTGTTTTTCCAAGGTACCAGTCAGGACACGCCAAGTCATGCTGCACTAACAAGCCCCAATTTCAGTGGCTACAACCAGGGCTTACATCTCACTCCACCACGTCTGCGGTGGGCCAGAAGAGGGGCTGTCCACATGGCATTTTTCAAGGATGAGGCTGAAGCAGCCCCTACTTAGAACAATGATAGTTGCCAGGCCTGAGGAGAGGAAGTCTCCGGCAGGCCTCGGGTGAACGATTCAGGGATCCAGCCCAGAAGAAGCACGTGTCACTTCTGTTCATCATTTATCGGTCAGAATTACTCACAGACGGCTCCACATCACACCAAGGCCAGGAATTCAGAGCCTAAAGCATTTGGGGAACAGTCTTCCTGACTGCAACTCTGAAGAGCAACCCCCAGTTGCTCTTCAGATCTTATTTTTCCCTTATTTTTCTAATTCCCTTTAGCCCCGAGAGTTCTGGCAAACCAGCACTGTGCTCATCCTGGGACCTGGCTAAATCTTGCTTGATTGTTAGGCTGGGAATGTCCTCTCCGAACTAAATGGCATGCAAATAAAACTGGGGCCGCCCGTTTCAAAGCCTGGTGTGGTCCGAGAAAACGCATTAAGGGGAAAGTTCTATGTATATGGATGATCGTGGAAAACTCACAGGCAAGGAAGAAATAGATGTGAAATCAGAATCTCAGCTCATGCATGCCATCAGCAGTGAGCCCCCAGATATTTACCAAGCCCTCCCATACCTGCAGGCCAGGCTCGGCCTTGTTCCCGTGGACTTACGCCTTCAATGTACGGTCTTGTTGAGACCGCGCAGGACTGGCAGCCATGCCCCTTTCTGCACTCGGCTGGAGAAGGAAGTGGGCCCAGGGCACTGGGAGACAGAGAGCCCTTTAGCGTCCTTGGGAAAGGAGGGCTTGTCTTCTGCCAACATCAGCCAGGGGCCCCCAACTGGCTCCTGCAAGGACTGGCCTTGCCCATTTGCATCTCCGTGGCACCTCCAGCACAAAGTACGCTCAGTTAACCAGAGCACAGTAAATATTTGTGGAGTGGAATCAGAAACCATTTGCCCACAGCATGTGGTGATCTTAGGTACAGATTTTTCTACAGGTAGGTAAACCGCAAGTACACAAGGGGGTTACTTATGACATAGCTCGGAGCGCAGACTCTTCCTCCCAGGCTTTTTGGAACAAGGTGGGGACGAAAGAAAGGAAGACAGAGGGGGAGAGAAGGGGAAGAGGCAGAGAAGGACAAGGGGAAAAGATGAGGGAGACAAAGGAGGAGGGAAGAAATACCCACCGCTGTTCTGTTCATTTTCTGATGCCCCCTCTGGCCAATTTAGGCCCCAGAGGCTCCCCTCCTTGCCTTCCGGAGGAGAGAGGGCTGTTGGACCCTAGGGCTCAACCCCACTCCAGACGCCCCCTGCGTGGCCTCACCCACCCCTCCCGTCCACGCACAGCTCAGAAATCAGCTCCCGAGCTGCTCCCCGCTGCAGCGGGCCCTGGCCAGCTCCCCAACTCCTGTCCAGATGACCCGGAAGGAAGCTCTCCAGCTCCGATCCAATGACCTGGGTGCTTCTGGCTGCCCCACGCCCCGCTCAGGCATGGTGCCAGGGGGCCATGTTCTAGGCCACGTTTGATGTGCTTCCCCTCCCCACCCGCTTGCAGGTGGGGGCCGCTACCGTCCTTGTGTTACAGAGGAGGAAACTGAGGCAGGGAACGGTGACCTAACCTACCCAGGGTCACACAGCAGTGTTGGCAGATTCCAGGTCACAAAGCCATACGGCAGGCAGCAGCAGTGGTTCCCGAGTCCCCTCTCTTGTTTGACTGCCAGTCGGGCTGAGGGCTTGGACGGCCCATGTGGACCTGTGTGACCTGAGGCAGGTCGCGTCCCCCTCTGAGCCCTACAGGTGCAGCTGCCCCGATGGGCAGGACGCCAGAGAGATGACATGGCACTCTATGACTGTTGGGTGCCTTCACGGCTCGTCTCCCTTTGCACCCCTGCCAGCCCCTCTGCGTGCCACTGTGACCCATCCTTCCAGGACCCCCACCTCCTGCCGCTCTTCGGTTCAGACATTAGCATCGCTGATGCACACTTTGACATCCATGGCCCAGTAATTTATTGAAATATTCACTTGTGTTTGTTCTCCTCTATCTTTCACTGCTCCACGACCCCTCCCTTTCAAGCAGCTTCTTGCTACCTGCCTGAGGGATTGGATGAAGACTTTCTTAGAGACAAATGTAAAACTATGGGAGGGAGAATACCAGGGAGAAAAGGGGGGGGCGTTGGGGGGGATTTCAGAAGGGAGGTGTGAGTGCCTCCCACCCTGTGCCCTGGGAGGCAGAGGACATCTGTAGTCACCAGGGGAGGCAGGAACCCGGCCCGGTGGCCCCCGTGTCACCAGAGACTCTGGGGCCCCAAGCCTGGCATGAAAGTCACACAGCTTGGAGTACAAGAGCAGTAGATGCCTTGGA